TGCCAGACGTCCGTTTGGCGTGGCGTTCTCTTTCTCTAGTCCTCACCTAGCAGCCACCACTGACAAACTCAGGGACTTAGAGATTTAGGAATGGTTGTACTCGACACAGGCTTCCTCCACTAATTTGATGAGCAAACATTTTCTTTAGGAGAGTATCAAGGAAAACCTCATGCTAATCTACACTCCATTATTCTAAAGTCTCAATTAGTGAAATGATAATTAGTGAGTTAGGTTTTTTTTTGCCCTCCAACATAGAATTTTGTAGTGATATAAGCCACTGATTAAGAGTGCATTTGGGCAGGGCGTGGTGGTTCACACCTGTGATCCTAACACTCTGGGAGGCTGAGGCATGAGGTTTGCCCAAGCTCAGAATCTCAAGACCAGCCTGAGAAAGAGAGACCCAGTCTCTAAAAATAACTTGGCATTGTGGTGGGCACCTGTAGTCCCAGCTACTTGGGAGGTTGAGGCAAGAGGACCACTGGAGCTCAGGAGTTTGCGGTTGCTGTAAGCTATGAAGCTACAGCACTCTACAGAGGGCAAACAAAGTGAGACTCTGAAAAAAGAAAAAAAAGAGTGTGCTTGAAATCTAGATCCAATTTTTTTTTAAAGCTATAAAAGTCATTTGTTGAACAATGGGCTACACATATTTGGTGATATTTATCGTATGTTAATTTTCTTTAAGTTTTAGTTATATTGGAAATTTTCCTTATTCTCTGATGATTCATTTTACAAAATTTAGGGATGAGTCAAAATAACTAAGATTTTCTTTAAATATTTCATAGGAATTATATATGCACATATATAAGGAGGAACAAGGAAACAAATACAGAAAAATGTTGACATCTGTTGAATCCAGTGGACAGCATGTTGGTATCTATTGCATTTTTCTTTTACTTTTCTGTATGTTTGAAAATTTGCATAATACAAAGTTTGTGGGAAAAGCAAGTGTAAAAGGAATACAATGATTCATTAAATATTCATCTTCCTTACTGACATGATTCTCACTGTATGGTAAATGTTGTGCTACTAGATAATATAATGTAATAGAATTCAGAGCACTTCACAAATCTTTAATTTATTCTTTGAAAGATTGTGAAAAATTAGAGGGGGGAGTATGCCACAGCCTTAGGTAGAATTGAGAGTGAGCTATTAAACCAAAGCTGAATCCTGGTAGTCCTGGTAGTCTTTCTCACAATGAAAGTTTAATAAAGTAGCAGTTGCAAGAAAAATCACTAGCAAATGTAAAAATAAGAACGCTACCCTTCAGAAAAAATTAATTTGTCATCATACATAATTTTGTAAAATCTGAAGAATTTTATAAAATTTTCAAATTCTATTATCAGATAAAATTCATACTGACAGAATGTAAGTTAAAGTCCCCTATAAAAGGCAGCGCCTGTGTCTCAAGGAGTAGGGCGCCAACCCCATACACTGGAATTGGTCGGTTCAAAGCCAGCCCACGCCAAATACTGCAACAACAACAACAACAAAAAAATGGATCACTCTCTCCTCTACATAAGACCTAATAAAATATAAATATATCAATCTTTTTAAAAAAAAAAAATAAAGTACCTGTAAGGAATAATACTGTGCATTTTAGTTCATATCTTGTAAAGGAAATGGCTACTGTGCCTATGAGTTGCAGAGATTCTCTTTCAAAAAATGTTTTACCCATCTGAAATCTTCCACCTACGGAGACTGTCAGTCTGCTCTGTTTCAAGGATCTCTCTTATCACATTCATTAGTGTGCCTCCCTCTTGTTGAGTTACCACTGCTCTTGGCTGAGTGTAGAGCCATTTATTTGAGTTCGTTTCCTTAAGCTCCTCTGGTCTAGTTATTTTCCTCATCTCGTCTTTCACTGCCTTCTCCAGGGCCTGCTGGAGTGCCTGGATGGCCGCAGTGCCATTAAGACATACTCAGCGCCGTGAAGACATACTCAGCGCCTGGCAGCACAGGGAAAGAATGAGCTACGCGCCTCCTCTCATGCTCAGGAGAGCTCAAGCTCCCTACGCGGACTGCTTCCTCTATTTTCTCCACACTGGTCAAGCACCTCTATCGGAGAGGCCAAGGAATGATTTTTAGAAGATTATAAGGCACTCCTGCATTTAAAACAACATTTGTTAAGTATCTTCCATGGCGTGCAAAGGACAAGAGATACAGAGAGGACAAGATATGATTGACAAGCTTAGAGTCTAAAAGCAAAGGGTGTAAATACAAATACGAATAATAAACGTGTGCGATAAATGTCCAATATATTCACTGTGGTGTGGTCCTGGAGTCAGAGACAGCTCTCCTTGTCCTGGGGCAAGTTATCTGGGTGTTCTTTGGTTTGCTGCGATTTTTGTTTGTTGCATTTGTTTTGCTTTTCGGTGCCTGAGTGTCCTCATCCTCTTTATAAAATTCCTGCCGGCAGAGGCAGTGTGAGGACTGGCAGGCCTGGGGCGATCTGGACGGTGTAACTGCTCAGTAAACTCTGGCTTCCTTCCTGTGTGCTCAGTGGCCGCTGTGAAACCCAGTGGAGGCCAGGCCCAGTAGGGTTTCACTGAGAGGGTCCAAGGACATTTCCTCTCCAAACACAGCGAAGGTCTCTAAGCACTCCTGGGTGAGGGGTGTCAAAAACACCGAGAAGACGCCACAGTCTAACTCTGAGTCACAGAGCCATAGAAACACCCCAAATCTGGAGCAAAAAAAGGACCCCACTGAAATAATGCATGTTATTTCATTATTACTTAGAACAGTGTCTGGTTCACTGTGTTAAATACATGATAATCAGTGTCATTATCATTATTCATCTCTAATTTTATACACAAGGGGACTGTAAAGCCTACAAGGTAAATTGCCCTGAATCACAAAGCTAATAAATGGCCTCCGAGTGACCATTTGATCAAGGTCTCTGCCATAACTCATCAGATTTAAAAGACAATTAGGGCGAGATTGAGGTACCTTTTGGCTTACCTTTGGTGTATGTACAGCATCTACCGTATCACAGACTCATTATAGATACCTACAAGTGTTTGTTGACTGCCTTTTAAAAAATGTCCTTTTTAGCTAGATAGACTTGGACTGAAGTCCCAACTCCGGTGCTCTCTGGATGTGAAAACTTAGGCAAGTTAATCCTTCGTGCCATAATTGTTCTACCTGTTAAAAATGGGGTTAACGGAACTTAAACTATTGCTCTTTTATGGGCTGTGGAGAGCTCAAACGGGGGAGTGGGGAGCACGCGAGGCCTCTGAGCAGGGTTCAGCCGCTCAGGTGACCCTTCGTTTATAGTCTCCGGGTATACACTTCCTTAGGGTTTTCTGACAATTAGCAAACATCATGGTTTGCCACAAGGGGGCAACACTAAATGGGAATAAAAATCTAATCTATCCTGCCCCTCCCCCCCCCGCAATCTTTAAAAAATTACATCAATTAATAACTCTCCCTTCCCTCATACGTGGAGTTAGCTGGTAAGTGTTTCAGGCTTAGGTTTCTGTTTTCTTTTCCTTCATCCTGTTCTTCAGAAACTGCCATCTTCATACAATCTAGGTTTGGAAGAGACTTCAGAAGTCATGTGGTTACGCAGAACTAACAGGGCCCTCTGCAGTTGTTTCTGCGTCGGATTGCTGGTCTCCACCCGCTGTGCCGATGGCCTCTCTGTTCACTTCACCTGCAGACCTGGGTGTCTGTGCTTCACTCTCTCTCAGCGTTCTTAATTATTCTAACTTCACCTCAAACTCAGCATCAAACACCTAACCTACATGTATTTCTTCTAAAAGAGAGACTATTTCTGGGCATATAGGCTTAAATCTCAGAGTAATGTTGGATTCCTACTTCACCAATGAAATTACACAGCCTGGTCTTGTCTTTATTTAATCCAACTACCCATCTCGTGTGTGTTCTTACCTTGTCCAAAGCTCCTTCTCATCTCTCAACCGCTGCCCTTTAGCCCACGTATTGGATAATAAGCACTTGGAATCCATAGACTCATACAAATGTGGGCCCTTCTGGGTTTTTCCTGTGAAAGACTCCCATTTCTTACCCCCAGACAAAGCAAAGTTTTTTTCCACGCAGGCTACATTTAGAATTTGTTTGTGTTTCATGAACTGTGAAAAGGAAGCTGGGAGAGTTGTGTGCACTTGAGGGGGCTCTGCAATTTGTAAGAAAAATTTTTTAGCTACAAAAGACAATGTTACTAAGTTGCATAGGGTGCTGTCACTGAGGATGTGTACGCTTGGTCATCAGAGAATGCAGTGTCATATGCCAGCAAATCTTATGAGAAATAGTGATGTGAGGAGTGTTGTGTGGGATAATATTAGCAAAAATGCTTTTAATGCGGCAGAATAAAGAATACCTGCTAAGGGCTTAGTCTGAACTTCATTTTCTGCTGGCAGAAGAGTATTTTAGAAACTGCATTGATTCAAAAACTTATGTAAGTTCAAATGGTTTTAAATACATATATGACTCTCATGTCATCTTTGCTTCTCTAGTTCATAATAAGTCAGAAAAGAATAAATATTGTATAATTCCACTTAGTGAGGTACATAAATTGTCAGATTCTTTTTTTTTTTTTTTTTTTGCAGTTTTTGGCCAGGGCTGGGTTTGAACCCACCACCTATGGCCATTGGGCCGGTGCCCTCCTCCTTTGCTGCCCAAATTGTCGGATTCTTAGAGATAAAAGTAGAATGGTGAATACCAGTGGATGGAAGGAAAAGGCAATGGGGGGTGTGTCAAGGTTTAATAGGTAGAGTTTCAAATGGGGAAGATAAAAAAAATCTGGAAATGTATGGTGGTGACAGTTGTGCAACGATGCGAATGGACTTAATGCCACTGAACTGTACACTTAGATATCGTTAAATTGGCAAATTTTGTGTTACATATATTTAACAACAAAAAGAAAAAATTTTAAAAAGCTGAATAGTGTTTTTTTCATTTGTGTTCAATTTTTTTTTTGACATGATATAAGACTGAACTCAAATGATGCAAAACCTACTGTCGAGGAACATACTCTCTTTTTTTAATGTCAGACAAGCAATGTGCTGACGTCATAACAAGATTTGCGAGTGGCAAATCTCACGCATGCGCATGAACACCTAGTCCTCACGCCGATGAACTACAGAAGGATCAGGAATATGCTTTAAGAAAAGCTAACCAGTGGAACGCAAGCAGTGACCAACTCACTGCATTCTCACTCCAGGAAGGGATGAAGAGTCTTTTTGAATATTCCTGGGTTTTGTTTAGTCTTCTCTTAGCTGGCTTGAACTTAGCCTCAGAGTATCTGCCTCTGGAGAGCCTAAGTCTACAAAATTTATTGAAAATGATGATAACTTGACAGTAACACGTATTGAGCACATATTAAGCCCCATGTTTAAGTGCCAGGTTAAGGTGAAGAAAGAAGTTTTAGGTAGATTAAAAAGTACGATACATTAGTTTACTATTCCCTACTACCTATTTGCTTTAAAAATAAATGCAGACACATTCCATTTCAGAATCAGGAAAACAGACATTGTTGTGTGCAGTAAACATGACTGAGTGTATCTGCCAGTAATATCTGTGACCCTTCCCACACAGCTGACAGCGTCATGTGTTGTGAAGTGAAAATTTTTAGAGAGGCTCATTTCAGTCTATTAAATTTCCTATGAAGACAAGTTTGCAGGGTTTTTTTTTTTTTTAATTGTTTGGGATTCATTGAGGGTACAAAGAATTACGTTACACTGATAAACTTGCAAGTATTGACAATCTTTTAAGTAGAAGGCCTATTCAGAAATAATCTGGTTATTATTGTAGGGAGAATATTATGAAAACAACAGTTCAAAACTGACAGTACGTTCACCTCAAAGCAAAACCATTTCTGGTTTCTCTCCAGTAGCTGGGTTAATGTGGTAGACGAGGAAGCCTGACTAGCAGGTATAATTAAAGTATGAATCACAGGAGCAAGTCATGAGTCATAGTGAAAACACCTATAAGAAACAAGTCCATTATCATATACCAACTTCAGAGACTAATGGGCGAAAGGTAGGAGGAAAAATCTTACCTCTATCTGCACGCCATGATGGGCCTGAGTGGAAACATACTGATAATGGCATCAGTGTTTTATCGGTGCCATATCTGTGTGAAGCTCTGGGACATATCACAGTCTGCCGATATTATACAGGCACTCATTTTCTACATTTTCTTTTCTGAGAACTACTTGAGGTCAAGTATGATGCTTTGCTTTATTTATCTTTCTACATAAATCACTTCTCTACCCAGATCCTGGTAATGTAGACAGTAGACATAAAACATGCAATTACATACATGAATGGGTATTTAATAACCCATATCTTTGAATCTACAATAAATCTGCCCTGGCATGTAAGACTTTAAAAGAAAGCTGATACCCAACGTATTAAATGCTACTTATCAAAGACCATTGATGCATTTTTTAAAAATTAATCACAGAAATTTGATTTAATGGAAAACAGGAAGAGATTGTCATATTGTATTCTTTTTTATATCTCAGCAGTTGGCAATAGATTTAGTTGTGAGGAACAGCAACATGGCAAAAGTTGAAAGGACACTGTTTGGCCCGACCAAATGTTTGTCTTTCAGGCAATGTGATGAGTGATGTAAAATCACATTATGTGAAAAACAGCCCACTGGTGTTTATGTCCTACAATTAAGCGACAAACAGCATTATTATACCCTTGTGTCCACCTCCCCCAAGTTCATCACTCGGAGTGAAAATGACTCTAGTGGTGATTGGTCATTTTGCCAATATGTTGAGGAGTAATGATGAAAATATGGATGGAGGGTTTTAAGTCTGATTTTCCTCGTCCAGAAAAATTTAAATCAAGTCATCAAACATAATACTGTTTACTTATTACTATTATTATTATTTTTTAGTTTTTGGCCGGGGCTGGGTTTGAACCCGCCACCTCCGGCATATGGGGCCAGTGCCCTACTCCTTTGAGCTGCAGGCGCCTCCCTTTACGTGTTATTTTTCATGTTCATGTATTTTTTTTTTAAATAAACTCTTGACAGTCCCTTAAATTTATTTGGGAAAAATGTAAAGCACTTTAATGGAATTTTCCCATGATCTGTAGAAGAGTTTTTTAACAGATGGTTCAAATGGACAAAACAATGAAAACATAGACAAGCAGATCCTTAAGAAAAATAACTCAGTTTTCTGAAATCCAGTAGGTGATGTCAGGACCAGATGTAAAGCAGCAGTTTCTTCTCCGGTCAAAGTTTTAAGAGAACAGAAATGTATTGGGTGAACCTCTACTAGAATAAGGGTAATGCCTCTCGGAGGGAATTAACTATTCATTTGACACCCAACCCAATTTTGATTTGAAAATCTCTTTCCTTGTAGGACAATTTCTTCCAGGTGCCCCAAAGAGATATGCGTACTGTGATGCAAATAGATATTCTGTTGGTAAGCAGGAGCGCCTGAGTCCAAGGTCTGTACTTGGAGGGTGGGATGACTTAAAAAACAGTTCCACCTTCCAGCACCTGGGGGAAAAACACACCGCAATGAAATTGGATGGCTGAAACGGAGAGACACGACAACTTTTCAACCTGGAATTTATACACTGAGAAAGTGTGAAGTAAAATTCAAACTAAGGCTAGACAGGAGCATCTTCCACCCAGGTTCCCAAGTACTCAATCTTTAGGGAAAGTTAACGTTTTTTCCCTCCAGACAATTCTAGGGAGTGGGTGACGAGGAAGATGGTAGAGAGTTGGAGACTCTTTTGTGGAGCGGAGAACTCCGAGGTGTCACGGTGGGCTAGGTGGAATGAGGCGCCGGGAGGAGACAGGGTTAACGCCCCGCGAGAAATCAGGGGCGCAATCGCGCGCGGCAGAGCCGGGAGCGGGGAGCCGGCGCCGAGCGCCAGCCGGTGGGTGGGGGACTGCAGGGTAACTGGGCGGAGGGCGGGGTGGCGCGGGGGAGGGTCTCCCGGGCTGGCCCGATTTGCGCGCTCTCTGAGCCTGCGCCCGCCGAGGGGGAGGGTTCCCCGGGCGGGCCACGGTCGCCGCTGGGCGCTTCTGGCTCACAGCGCCTAAGACTGTCAAGGGAGCCGGAGAGTGGAACTGCCGGAAGTGTGCGCGCCGGGAGGGAAACGTTCCTGCTGCGGCCGCGGCCCGGAACCTCGCCACCCCGGCGCTCGGAGCGACGATGCGCTTCGGTGACAACAACCTGAGCGCACCCGCGCCTCGGCCCGCCGCCCGCGCCTGCGCTCGCCTAGTCCCCGGGGAGGAAGACTGAGACCGGCGCAGGCGGCGCGGCGCGGCGGGAGGGGCCGTTTCCTTTGCGCCGTCCCCGGGCGTCCCGGCTTGTTCCCAGCGATCGAGCGTCCCCGGTGCCGGCCGCGGTCGCCGGCTGCCCCCGCCCTGACCGCCGGCCCGGACGTGCCTCCGGCCGCCGCTGGCAGTGCCTGTGCCATGGGGCTGCCCACTCTGGAGTTCAGCGATTCCTACTTGGACAGCCCGGATTTCAGGGAGCGCCTGCAGTGTCACGAGATTGAGCTGGAGCGAACCAACAAGTTCATCAAAGAGCTTATTAAGGACGGGTCTCTGCTCATCGGGGCGCTGAGGAGTAAGTAGGGCTGGCGGGGGACGGGGCGCGCGGACCCAGAGCGTCCTGGCGGGGTGCGGGTCCGCGGGGTGGGATGGAGGCATCCGAGCTTCTTTTGTTTGAATGGATTGGGGACAAAAGCTGAAGAGCTCCCCTGCTGGTGGCCAGCAAAGTTTGTTCTTAGGTGTTCTGTGCTCATTTACTTCCTCGTCTGCAGAGAATGGGAAAGTTCACTGTTGGGCTCTGGAGTTTGTCCTGAGGAAAGTCGTACAAAGTCATCTTTTTTGTGCAACGATCCTGAAAAGATGTTGGGGACTTTTATTCTCTGTAAATTTATTGTGCCTAGTTTGAACACGAAAAAGCCCTGAAGGAGGGGATCAGGAGTTCGTCTGAAGGAGAAAATTAAGCTAGTTTATTTAGTGATAGTCAAAGAAAATTGTTTTCCCGTGTCCATCAGTGGCTCTTCACTGGGCACGGTCATCAACTTGCTGGGCGCCCGTGTGCAGTTAGAGCGCCGGCCCTGTGCTCTAGGGGTGGCGGGTTTAAAAACCTAAAAAATGCATTTGCAGTTGTACCACTTTATAACTGACCAAAGATAACATGGAACTAAGTGGATTTTTAACTCTTTGAGAGTTTTCTGTGCCTCTTAATTTTTGGTTAGCGTCGTGGGCATGACGTTGGGACGAAAGGTCAAAGGCCAGAGGTCAATTAGAACTTTTAATGATCTATGGAGGTAAAGAAATTACTCCTCCTGACCGAATTTTCTTTCCTCTGTTTTTCATCGTTTGCATCTTCACTTTCAATTACTAAGACCTAAAAGAGTATCTGAAACTCAGAACAGTTTTTCATGTAGTGAATTAAATGAGACTAAATGGTAGGACTTAACTTGCTACTTTTCCCAGGACGTATTTGCATCTTTAAAAAAATTATTTTTATTTATTTTTCCTTTTATTTTCTTTTTTCCCCTTTCTCATCTGCACAGGAGGCTATTTGCATCTTAATAGAGGCTTCTAGATGCTTTAGCTGCTGAAATGAAGCCCTGGGATCTGGCCTCTTACGGTTGGGTAAATGAGGTGTTTTCATAAGGTATGGAGGCTGTTGGGTGATTAGTTACCCCCAGGACTTACTTACATGGGGCAGCACCTTTCTGTATATCCAGTGCAAGTTCAGCGACAGTTTGATAGGGGTGTGTGCTGAAAACTGAGACAGCACTAGCATCTGATCTGTATTTTGATGTATGTGCTAATAGTAAGGATAGAGCTTAGCAAAATGTCTTGAAATTGGCAAGTCAGTGTTTTAGAACTGAAGATACTAAATATGGTAATACTGAAACATTTACTTAAACCACTTGTGTTACTTAACCAGGGTAAAGAAAACACGTTTTGTGCCTCTATTCCTTTAATTTCTGAGTTTGAGTCTACTACTCATATGGTATTAACTGTGATTTGTGGAAATTATGGTTACCTGCAGTTCTTCCTACCTATGTATACACAGATGTCAACTCTCTTTTCTTTTGGTTTGAAAATCCTGGTTGAAGTCTCAGGACAAACCTCTTTGCATCCTAGAGAGCAAGATGATGCCTCTTCAGAAAGAGCTTCTGTGTTTCAGAGTGCTCAGTGCTAAGCTGATTCTTTTTCTTTTTCTTTTTTTTGGAAAGAGTCTCACTATGTCACCCTAGGTAGAGTGCTGCTGTGTCATAGCTCTCAGCAACCTCAAACTCTTGGGCTCAAGCAGTTCTCTTGCCTCAGTCTCCCTAGTAGCTGAGACTACAGGTACCTGCCACAACGCCCAGCCTGGCTATTTTTTTTTTTTTTAATAGATGGTGGTCTCGCACTTGCACTTGTTGGGCTGGTCGCCAACCTATGAGCTCAGGCGATCCACCCTCCTGGGCCTCCCAGAGTGCTAGGATTACAGGCCTGAGCCACCTCGCCTAGCATCCAAGCTGATTCTTGTTGGAGCTGCCAGTTGTTCTACATTTTTCTCTGACTCTACTTGGGATCAACTTTAGGGTTTAAGAAGTTGAAAATACTTAACATAGCTGTGATAAATGCTCTGACATGTACATTATTTTACTAGTGATGTTATATATTATGATTCTTCGATCTAGCCTTGTAAAAAGGTGATGCCTTTTTTTTTTGAGACATAGTCTCACTATGTCGCCCTAGGTAGAGCGCTGTGGCATCACAGCTCACAGCAACCTCTTGGGCTTAAGTGATTCTCTTGCCTCAGTCTCCCAAGTAGCTGGGAGTATAGGCGCCCACCATAAGGCCCAGCTATTTTTTGGTTGCAGTTCTCATTGCTGTTTAGCAGGCCTTGGCCAGGCTCAAACCTGCCAGCCTTGGTGTGTGTGGCCTGTGCCCTACCCACTGAGCTAGGGCACGCTGAGCCCGGCCCTGCATTGTTAATATGGCCCTGTGCATGTATATGTACATCTAAAGCAGACCCTGCTGTCTTTTAATTGCACTTATCTCTTTGAAATTTGCATACAAATTTTCTAGGATTCTTCAGTTTGTGGTGAGAGTGTATTACATTAGCATTTGTTTATTACTTCTTTCATTGTGAAAGGAAAATGTTTTATTTCTTTGTGAAAGAATTCCAGCATCAGCTGCCAAATGGGAGTGATTTTGGAGTAAAAGGAACTTTTGAAGACAAATGACAGCGCTGCTCTTTTCCTACTAAGCCACCTTCTGTCACTTGGGGAGGAAGCTCTGAGAACCTGCTGCAACTGCTTGCAGAGGAGGACGTGAAGCCTGCTTAGTCCCATGGCTGGCTGCCCTCCCCCAACTGCTGGCCAGGCATTCCTTCAGCTCTGCTGGCAGTGCCTGTGCCCGGGACTGCTTGCTCTACTGAGGGAGCCCTCCTTTTCTAGTACCGTCCCTCTCCACTGGTCTTCCTTCCTGCCTGAGGTGGCCTTCACTCTGCCTATCTTTATGCCAGCTCTTTCCCTAACTGTCTATCAGCTTTTTCAGTAGTTGTATCCATTATCCATTTCAGTTTTATTTATTTCTATTAATAATTAATGAATTCTTAATGTTACCTTGCTTCGTTGACCATCTTCAATGTATTTATGTTTTTAGTAAAGAGAGGGTCTCATTCTTGCTCAGGCTAGTCTTGAACTATTGAGTTCAAGCGATCTTCCAGCCTCGGTCCTCCAGAATGCTGGGATTACAGGTGTGAGCCACTGTGCCTGGTTATCAATGTATTTCTAAGCATCTTATATTATTTTTATCCTTGTTAACTTTTCTGGTGAGGATTTGGGCATGCATTTTTTAACACATGCCTGATTGTCCAGTAAGAATCACACATACTCCTGACCTATGGGTTAAGATGAAGTTTTTTGCTTTTTTTTTTTTTTCCTTGAGAGAGGGTCTCACTCTCTTGTCCAGGCTAGATTGCAGTGAAATGATCACTGCTCATTGCAACCTTTAAATCTGGGCTCAAGCATTCTTCCTGGCTAAGCCCCCGTAGCACCTGTGTTAAAACGTTAAAAAACATTTAAAAGAAACATTAAAAAAAAGTTTTTATAGAGACATGAGTCTTGCTGTGTTGCCCAGACTACTCTTGAACTCCTGGCCTAGGTGATCCTCTTGTCTCTGCCTCCCAAAGTGCCCGGCCAAGATGTAGTTTCTTTAGTAGACTATTTGGAAGGGTCCTTTAAATTGAACTAGATGTTTACAATTTTAAATAATATGTGTATGATAATTAACATTTTGAAAAAGTGCATTATTATGTTTTCATATTCATCCTGAATATGATTCTGAGAAAAAGGATGCATGCTAGTTAATTAAGTGTATTCACCTACACTTATATTTGAATTTTGGTGTTTAGTGCAGTGTTAACAGTTGGCAAGTAAGTTTGCTTCTCTAAGGCCAACATTTTTTATAAAATAAGGAAAAAAATTTGTAAAATTCTCACCATTAGGATTGTTTGTTGTTTATATCTGATGAATGAAATTTGAGAATATTCTTAATATTGGGGAACTGAGTTTTAGTTCATGATATATGACTCAAAATCTCTACCCTTTTCTTCAGATGTTATTCTTTGAACTTTCTTTAACAGATGTCAGTCTTAAAATTTAAGCTGTGAATCAATAGGTTATTTTTGCTTATTAATTTTTTCCTTTTATGGATCCTATCCAAAGAAACATCCAAAGAACAGAATTGCTTCTTGTGTAATTTACCTTTTAATATTTCTCCTTTTTATACTTCAGAATTATCTTTAAGTAGAATGAGCAGGAATACACAGCAAAAAAAGGAGAGAATAAAGGAATAGAAGTAGAATTGAAAATTGCTGAGAGCAGATTCTGAGTATTCTAACCACACACACAAAAAGATAACTATATGAGGTAATGCATTTATTAACTTGATTTAGCCATTCCATAGTACATTAAATATATACGGGGGCCATAAAGTTTGTGTGCAATTTAAATAGTTGTTTAAATGACATGTTTAAATATCATGTATATGATCATGTATAATATCATGTTAATACTTCTCAAAGTACTAGCCCAGAGTGGTTGGTCATGCCTAAATCCCAGGACATTGGGAGGCCAAGGCAGTATGATAGTTTAAGGCTAGGATTTTGAAACCAGCTTGGGCAACACAGGAAGACCCCATCTGTACAAAAATTTAAAAAAAGTCATGTTACATACCATAAATATATGCATTTTTTGTCAATTAAAAAAATGAAAATAGAAATAGAGTTGTACTCATTGAATTGAAATGATTGGGTTTGGAGAGCACTGTCCACATTCTTCCCCTGCCCTGACCTGCAGCATCTGGTCATTCCACCTTCCTCATTGTGGTCTTCCTCTCACTGCCTTAAGCTAGACCTGGCCCCCTGTTTGGTCTGCTTTGGATCTTGTTTCTAAGCTTGTCTATTTGGTATTCTTTTAAAGGAAAAAAAGTTAATGGACTATGGTACAGATTCAATTATTTGTGATAGTTAAATATATACAAGCAGGAAACTATAATTCTATGCTTATGACATTCATCCAATCTTAAAAGCAAATCAGTTTCCAG